CTCTCTCATTAACCTACTTGCAGGCAGCTTCAGTTATTTTGGCCTGCCCTGGCTCTTTTGGAAAGAAGCATTTGTTTGATAAACAGGAAGTCGTTTCCATGGGTGTAGGAAGAAGAAATGATAGAACCAAGTGGCAAGTAAAGAGCTGGTAGTTGTGGTTAGCCTGGAATAGGCAGACATGTTTTCAGGTAGTCACAGGAGACCAGCAGCGATATCTTTCCCCGGCTACCCTGGGCTCACCTTTCATCCTGGGAATGCAGTTTCTGCCCACTGCTTGACCTGCAGTGGCTTCATCAGCTCCAAGTGCTAGATAAATGAAGACAGTCTGCACGGAGTGGAAAAGTGGCTTATTTTACGAAATGTTAGCTCCCTGCCACTGTCCCATTAGTGGCCTCTTAAGGCTCCAGTGAAACTGGTCTAGGCAAGCAAAGACCCGCCAGTGTGTGTGTGTGTGTGTTCTTTGAAAGGTTAGAACCTGAATATACCCAAGGTATATTCCTCACGTCCCAGTAGACGGGGACAAAATTAGAGTGGATTCTGAGGCAGGTTTATGTGCTAGTGCTGTAGCGCTTTTTGAACTGCAGATTTCATTCATTATTCTGTCACCCTCAGAGGATTTGTGAGCCTCAGTCAGTCACTAGTGTTTGAAAAACTTCATGGGAGAGAACAGATGAAGTATAAAGAAGTCCAGTGCCACGTGACCTAGGATGACTGGCAAGTGAGGAAGAGAACCTAGACTCTACATGGAGACTCACCACGTTTTGTGTTTTAGCTGGTTGGAGCCACGCTGCTGTATAAGAAAACTTTAAATCTTGTGGTGAAAAGGGTCGGTGTGACTGACTTTACATAGCAGGTGTCTCCTTGATGTCTGCCTTGGTGGGAGGAAGGACAAGAATCTAGACTGTCAGAAGCTGGAGTCCTGGGGATAGTTAAGATGAGAGGTCTGTAGAGCTGGTACTGGTAGCTAAGACGTAGGAGACCTAGCTCTCCAAAGGCCTGGAGGAAGTACAACGACCTTCTGAGTTCCTTATAGCTGGAATCCTGACAAAGATCAGATTGTGTTTTTCTTCAACTGTTGAGTGGATTCAGAACCCTCTGTGTGAAAGTACCCCAGTGTTGATTCAGACACTGTGACTATGCATAAGTGTAGGCTGGGCTACTATGCTGGATTTCTCCTTTAGAGGTTAAAATACCCCATCTGGTCTTGAGATTTTGCTTCCTGCCTACTGAGCATATAGGAATATAAAGCAAGCAATTGTCAGCAGACCACTGAAAGGCAGGTTTCTGCAGGGACTGAAACTGCAGGCTGTTGGTTTCCTGGCACACCCACCTGACACACACTGAGAGCAAACTAATAGCAGGGGGTGGGGGTGGGGGTGGGGGGGTCCAGTGGAAGAAAATAAAAGCTGAGGCTAAGGTGTGAGTGAGCCTGAGTCCCTAAGACATTGCTGAAGGTGAGGAGCACATAGCAGCAGCAAGAGCAGCATGGATGCCACGTGCTGGTCCACGAGGAAAGCCTAATGTGCCCACCCTCAATTACAGGAATAGTGTGGGGATGTTTGTAGTTGCAGTTCAGTGTGGTGTGTGTATCCCAGGCTGCCCAGTAAGTTGACACTAATGCCTTCCACCCAGGACCCTGAAGAATAGTTCTGTGAAGTGCTACAGACTGTTGGCGAGCTTGGAACTCCATTAACAAAATGCTTAAATATCCCCTGCATGATACTGAGTGAACCTTTAAAATGTGTAAAATGTGTTTTAAGATGTCTTTGAAAATTCAAGTTTTGTCATATGTGATAACTCTTAAACAAAGTCCAAGTTTGTCCCTAAATGCAGGCGCTTTTTGTTGTCCTTTTCACTGTTTCATGTGAAAGTTGACTCCATTTAGCAGGCTGGAAGCTGGGGGTATTGGCAGTGTAAATGTTTTGTCCAGAGACAACCAATGTGTCATTGTGAAGATAAATCAGAGCTAGGCTGCATTCCACCAGCTGGCCTCTACAACACTTTTGAGAACTTTCCAATCATTTTAGAAAAATAAGGTACTTAGACATTTATAAAGAAGTTTTTTTTAATGAAAGAAAATCACTTATTTTGGGAATCACAAAATTAATCATTCTGTCATGTTTAAGAAGCTTTGATGTGTTTGGGTAATTAGTATTTACTGCCAGGCGAATGTCTCTTGGGCATTTTAATTAGTAGGTGGCTTGGCCAGATGAGCTTCTCTGATGGTAACCCTTCAGAGGAGTTTATTCTTATGTTTCTCAAGAAGAGCAGTCTCCTCAAAGCTCTTTAATTAGACCAAGTTTAGCAACTAAAACATATTATTAGAATAATTAGGTCTCTCTTAGGGAAGGGGGAAGGGCAGGGAACAGGTACTGTTAGAGAGTGATGGCTTCAAACCTAGCGTCCTGCCTTAGATGGATGTCCAGTTCCAGAGCGGCTTGTGTTATGTTGCTGTCCTCAGTCTAGGACTCCGTGTTGTTAAAAGTTCCCCAATGGGTCTCGCTAGAAGCCTAAACACACCCAAGTATATCTGTCCATCCCATTTCCATCCTGGAGACTTCTCATCCGCCAGCCCCCATAAGTTGCAAGTAACTGTGGTGGTTTCTTTTAAGGGGAAAACTTTAAAGGTCTTGTAAACAAAAGATTATAATAATTCTTTCAAGGATTGTTTGTCTATTTTTAGTGATGTCAAACCATCTTCCTTGGTAGCCCAGGCTGGCCTTAAACAAGATACCCCCATCTCAGCCTCCCAAGTGCTGGTGTGATAGGCTTGTTTGCCACACCTGGCTTGAGGGGTCTTTCTTAGTAATTTATGTACTTACAATAAATGTATGAATGTGTGTCGTGTTTACACTCTAGAATGTGTCCCTTGCTGTCAAAATGCAATTGCATTCTTTTAAAATTTGCCATGTAAGTGGGTTTCCCTCTAGCTGCCTTCTCACCCTTCTCCCTGGTCCTTGCCTGTCCTCTGTGCTCTTGGTCTTTACAGTTATCACCGCTAGTAGCACATCACCCTGGATTCTGTTTTCTTGTAAGTTTTAAAAAAGATAGCTGTCACTAGTCCTGTGAGTGAGATGTCACCAAAATAATTGGGTGATTTCAGTGAACTACTATTATTAAGCATATATATATATCTTACTTTTGCACTTCTTTATCATCTCAGGATCCATATGGTAGCATTGTGATGGCAAACGTGTCCTTTTTCAGCTGGGTCATCTGGTTAAAGGTCGTTTCACAGAAGGTTATTAGAAGTTTCCACCAGAATGTGCTGTGTTTTCTTTAAGATTTATTGTATTTTAATTTATATGTGTGTATGTGTGTGTGTCTGTGTGAGTATATGCCAGGTATGTGTGGGTACCAGTGTGGCCAGAAAAGGAGTACGTTCTCCCAGAGCTAGAATTACAAGTGGCTGTGAACATGAGCACTGGGAACTGAACTGAGTTATTTACAAGCAGTATGCACTTTTTTGTTGTTGTTTTGTTTGGTTTTGTTTGGTTTTTCTTTGAAACAGGATTTCTCAGTGTAACAACCCAGCTGGAGCTTGATCTGTAGACCAGACTGGTCTTGAACCCACAGAGATCCACCTACCTCTACCTCCTATAGATGTTGGGATTAAAGGCCTGCACCACCACTCCCAACCAGTATGCACTCTTTTTTTTTTTTTTTTTTTTTTTTTTTTGAGACAGGATTTTTTTGTGTAGTTTTGGAGCCTATCCTGGCACTCATTCTGGAGACCAGGCTGGCCTTGAACTCACAGAGATCCGCCTGCCTCTGCCTCCCGAGTGCTGGGATTAAAGGCGTGCACCACCAATGCCCGGCTCAGTATGCACTCTTAACTGCTGAGACATTTCTATAGTTCCATGGCTGACGTTTAGTCTGGACAGCTGTCACATCATACAGCAAGGTTAAGGGTGTGTGTTCCATCTGCTCAGTATCAGCCTAGTGCCTACTCTGTAGGAATGCACTTCTAAAACTTGCTACAGTGCCTGTGGGGCAGTCAAATGGCTTTTCAGTCCTGATCTCTAATACTGCAGAGTCTGTCACAGGTGAGGTCTTTTGTTTGTTGTTTGCTCTTACTCCGTCTATCAACTCGGCCATTGATCATTTTTCTTGGTAGAAACCTCTTGGTTTTCAGATAATATTATTTGTAAAAATTAGTACCATAGTTCTAAGAACAGCCGATTCAGATATAAAGATGTGTATACATTAGTACAACACCAAAGAAATATGTTTTCATGTCCAATTATAGGACTTTAAGAAAGTAGGAGATGTCAGCCTGGAAGGGCCCCACAGAAAGCCAGTCTCCTGCACGGTGTGTGCTCTGCTTGGAGATGATTGACTGATAGGACTCTGCTTTTTGACACTCTTCAAACACAGGACATGCTTGTGGTGCTTACTGTCACGTGTGTTTGATTATATACATGTAATTTTTTGCAGTGGGATTGTGAAAACAAGGTGTTAGTGATTCTTGAAAATTAGCACTAAGCCCTGAGAACACTTTTTTTCCTTATGGTTGTGCACTTTGTACTCTTGCTCATCCTTGTCACACATGCTCAGAGTTAACGTGGTTTTGGCTCTTACTGTTGGTGAGGTTTTATGGATGTGCACAGGAACGTGCTTTGTTCTCCTTCAGTTTTGTTTGTTGGTTTGTTTTATATTTAGTTTATGTGTATAAGTGCAGAGTGTGTGTGTGTGTGTGTGTGTGTGTGTGTGTGTGTGTGTGTACCACCTGCATACCTGGTACCTGTGGAGGTCAGAAGAAGGCATCAGATCTCCTAGAACTGGAGTTATAGATGGCTAGGAGCCACCATGTGGTTGCTGGGAACTGAACCTGGGTCCTCTGGAAGAACAGCCAGTGCTCTCAACCATTGAGCCATCTCTCCAGACTGTTTCCTGTTAAACTCTGTTATCAGATGGGTGCTTCCCCAACCTCCTTAAACTGCCTCTGGGATTATGCCAGAATCTTGGATAGGTACTGACTCTGCTCTTGTTCACCACAGACCACCTGGTGGCCCATGGAAGAATGGCAGAGAAGGAAGCTCGGCGGAAATTCAAACAGATTGTCACAGCTGTATATTTTTGTCACTGTCGGAACATCGTTCATCGTGATTTAAAAGCTGAAAATTTGCTTCTGGATGCCAATCTGAATATCAAAATAGCAGGTGAGGTGTGTGCTGACTGTGTGTGGTAAAGACAGGAGACAGGATGAAGGAGCTCCTCAGTTAAGGTTCTTAAAGCCTGGGGGGTAACCTCCTTATTTTTTAAAAAAAGCATGGTGAAAGTAGGGACAATTTAGACTTAAAAAAAAAATTAGAGTGAGCCAGGGGATGGTGGTGCATGCCTTTAATCCCCAGCACTTTGGAGGGAGAGGCAAGCAGATCTCTGAGTTAAAAGCCAGCTTGGTTTATACAGTTAGTTTCAGAACAGCTGAAGCTACACAGAGAATTTCTGTCTTCAAAATCCAAAACAAAACGCCCCAGAAAAACAAGACAAACAAACAGAATTAGAGCTGGGTACTAAACTCCAGTTTGTACATGCTGAGGATACCACTGGGCTACACTCCCACTCCAGACTTTGCTTTAATAGCCTGAAATTTAGTAAACTTTCAAAGTGCATTTTAAAATAGAGTATTAGCAGGAAGTCTTTAGGAAGAAAGGAAGAGGTAGTATTTTGAGTTCTGTTACTATGATAAATCCTTTGTAAATAATGAAGAATAAAATAGTATTTTTTAAGTAGAAAGGAAAATTATGCTAAAATTATGTACTCAGCTTCTATTGCCAAGGTTGATTTTACCACCATAGACCTAGGCTGTGTTTACTCTACAGGCTGTATTATTTTTAAATGTCTTTTGTTGTTGTTGTTTTTTAAATCTTATTTTACATACCAATCCCAGTTTCCTCTCCCGGCCCCGCCCCCATCCATTCCTCAAGAGAGGTTGCATTCTCCCATGGGGAATCATCAAAGTCTGTCACGTTCTAATGAGGCAGGACCAAGGCCCTTCCCCCTGTATCCAGGCTAAGAGAGTATCCCTCCATAGGGAATGGGCTCCAAAAAGCTAGTTCATGCATTAGGGATAATTACTGGTTGTACTGCCAGCGGCCCCAGAGACTGGTCAAACTCCCAGCTGACACCCAAGTTCAGGGGGCCTAGTTCAGTCTTATGCAGGTTCCCCAACTGTCAGGGTTTTGTAATAACAGATCTTACAATGCCCCCAAAGCATAGTAAAATGTTTATTGAAAGCTGTTCTTTCTCTAAAGATGTGAGAAGGTGGTTTAGGACCTATTGAGATTTTTCTGAGCATTTTTTCCTCCCAAATAAGTAAATGCATACATCCAGATCCCATAATAAATCTACTTAGCTAGTTTTAACCTTTTTTTTCAGTACAGCCTTTTATCTCATATTCCACTTCTCTGCCCACCTAACTTCTGTAAATTTCTTTCTTAGTGGCTTACACTTGCTGTACTGACCTATCACCATTTGCCTGACAGATACAAGTTCATCTCCTACTGATTAGAAGGAAGTGAGTGCACAACTATAAATAGAAAAAAAAATAGATACTTTTTGTTCTTTGATAGTTTCTAATATTACATTGTATGTCACTTATCTCCCAGAGGAAAACCAGAGTGGCTCATGCTGAAAATTGAATTATTGTTAGAGTATAATTGCCTTGAAAAGCCAAGGTGTCAAAAGCTGCTCTCAGATTTCCCTCTAAGCAGGGCAGGAGTTGAAAGTTCAGAATTATGTCCTGTTCCAGGACAAAGTACCTGAGCAAGCACCTCACAGCTGCGGGGCTTCTGTCTCTTAGTTGTAGACATACCATGTCTGATCTAATGTCACCTAGCACTGTCCTTATCTCAGACTGGTAGCTCTACTCCTGTTCAGAACTTCTCATAGTTTGTCACATAGTTTGTTGAGCCAGGCATGACATAGCAGTCAGGAATCAAAGGTTCTTCTTTTGGTTTGAGATTAAGCCAGGCACTCTCAATCATCCTGCGGCACGCTATTAAAGGATGTGGCTTAGCATAAAACCATGCTTTTCCTTTGTCGGTTGTGGCTGTTCCCATATAATTGGGGAATGTGGAAAGTCCAACTCTCTTTTGCAATGTTTTGTTTTTAGAAACAGGGTTTCTCTGTGTAGCTTTGGAGGCTGTCCTGGAGCTCACTCTCTAGACCAGGCTGGCCTGGAACTCACCGAGAACCGCCTGCCTCTGCCTCCTAAGTGCTGGGACTAAAGGCATGTGCCACCACCGCCCGGCTTGTAATTATTTTTTGTGGCTTCAATGAAATTGTTGATGAAACCTACCAAAGCTCACAGGACTCTGTGATACATGAGAGACTGGGGCAGGAGGTTCTTGGGCTTGAGGTTGGCCTAGGATGCATAGCAGCTGGCTTACTGTTAATGTAACAACTCAGCACAAACTCCATGGCTCCACATACAGTAGTTTCTAAGTCAGTTCTGGCAGTCCATATAATGCCTTTCAGCTAACATCTAGGTTTAAGCAGCCTGGTTCCTGGAGGACTAAAGGGAAAGTCTAGATTCTTGCCCTATTTTACCTTGGGAGGCAACCTGCCTTCCTTAGTGTAGGCCCCACCTTCTCGGCCCTCTCCCATCAGGCTTCTCTTGTGGTGACTTTGGTCCTCCTGATTTCATGCTGTAAGGAGTCCTGTCATCCTTTCAGGTTCTCCTAGACATCCAAGACCACCTCTGCAGTTTATGATTATTAATTTGGTCCCTTGCTCACAAAGCTCCCTGTAGCGTGTAATATAATGCATTCATAGGAATGGGGTGGTTGGAACATGGATGTGTTTGGAGGACGTTATTCCAGCCCATCACCGTGTCAGCACCAGGGTCCTGCAATTGTTAAAATAGCTTAAAGGCCCTCTTTATACTTCATATAGTTTTATTCTGCATATATGACCCAAGGTTAAAGTGTGTTTTTGTTTGATTGATTGTTTTGTGTCATTTTTATGCTTCTTCAGTTTGTGATTCTCACTTTAGATCCATTCTGATTAAATTAAACATTCCTGTGTCATTTAGTTTTCCATGGAGAAATTGAGAATAAAATTTGAGGTTATTGATAATTGAAACTGGAAATTACCCAAATATTAGGGCAAGGTGATTTTTAAAATTTTTTAAGTAGTTTTAAAAAGTTTTAAGTAGTTTAAAACAAATTCAAGGAATCACAGTAAAAGTGTGTCTGCTAATGTCAGTGAACAGTACTGGGGGTATTGGCAGCCAGCCTCATACTCTGTGTTTTAACACATATACTTTGGCATAATTTCAAAGTTCATTTTAAGTGTTTACATTTTTAGTATTTGTTTTCAGAGCAAAACAAAGACTAAATTGGGACTCTAGTTCATGGTCTGCTACAATGTCTAATGTTTATCTTTAAGTGACTGCTCATGCATTCTTTATTTTGCATGCCCTCATTATGTGGTTTCTCAGTCCTTGCTTGAGTCTCTCTTTTTCTCTCTCGCTCTCTCCCTCCTCCTTCCTTTCCTTTTGCACATGTATTAGAATTCTCATTTGTACCTGATACATCTTCCTTGAAGTTAATGGATGACTGCAAGGAATGCCTTTAGTGGAAGCCAAGTAGAACATCATCACTAAGTACAGAGTGGGTTAGTTGGTTTTGATAGGATATGGTCGATAAGAAATGAACGCAACTTTAATTTTAAGAGCTAAACACAGCTATTAGAGCCACAGTCTTCTCAATGGTCACTTTTTAAGACCATATTAGAAACTTTAGGAAGAAGCCACTAACTTTAATTTTAAGAGCTAACCACAGTCTTTTCAATGGTCACTTTTTAAGACCATATTAGAAACTTTAGGAAGAAGCCACTGTTTATGAAAGACACACACAAGAGAGAAAATGAGTTGTTTGTTTTGGGGGGTGTGTGTGTGTTGAAGAAAGGGTCTTTTTATGTAGCTCATGCTGGCCTCCAACTCAAGAGCCTCCTATTTCAGTCTCCCAGACAGCTTGTAGATATATGCCACCATCAAGTATATGCCTGAAAAAAAAAGAGTGATTGGTTCATTTTATTAAGATGTTATTAGTCCCGGGGAGCACAACCACAATCTTAGCTACTAGGAAGGCTAAGGTAGGAGGATTTTGAGTTTGAGGTCAGCCTCGGCTACTTATTAAGGCCCCATCTTAAAAGATAAAAGGGTGAAGAATGTTAAGTTGCTGAATGCTTACCTAGCATGAATTAGGTTCTGGGTTCAATCCTTGGTACCACCAAGAAAAAGGATCCCTAGTCTTTAGCAGTTCATCTTTAAACCATTTATGTTAAGAAGCAACTTAATTTGAAAGTAATGAAAATTCCAATTAAGAAATTATCATTTTTGCCAATATTTATCCAAGTGGTTTGGTTTTAAAAGCATTCTGGTATTTGCTAAAAGTACTTGTTGCCAATTTTGATGACCTGAGTTCCCTCCGTGGACCCACATGATGGAAGGAGGAAACTGACCCTGGAAAGTTGTCCTCTGATCTCCGCACACATGTTACATATGTGTTGCCCGCTCCAATAAATAATTATAAAAGAAAAATTATTGAGGAAGGTCTTACTGTGTGGACCTGGCTCTATGTAGATCAGGCTGGTCTTGAGCTCACAGAGACCTACTTGCCTCTGCCTCCTGAGTGCCACCATGCCCAACTTAAAAAAAAAAAGTGTGTGTGTGTGTGTGTGTGTGTGTGTGTGTGTGTGTGTGTGTGTGTTTTCACTCTGTAAACCAGGCTGGCTTTGAACTGGGAGATCCACTGCCTCTGCCTCCCTAGTGCTGGTATTAAAGATGTGTACCACCACCACCCAGCCTAAATTTTTTTAAAGCATATATCACCTGGATATAGTTATTCATATCTATAACTGTTACAGTTGGATGCAGAGGCAGAAGGCTTGCTGTGAATTCAAGGCTAGCCTTACTACATAGTGAATTCCAGACCAGCAAGACTACAGAGTGGGATCCTATCTCAAATAAATAAATAAATAAATAAATAAATAAATAAATAAATAAGATTGTGTTCATTTTAGAAGAGTAAGTTTTTCTGGTTTTGTTTGTATTATTTTCACTTTTTGAATGAGTTAATATGGTAATACATGTTTAGTAGTTGATACTACTAAGACATAAGGTGTCCTGAGTGTCCATGCTAGTCTAGTGCTG